ACCGCTCAATCCAGGTCTTCTCATCGAGGACACTATCATCCAGAGATGAGCTACTGAGAACCCGTTCGTTTTTCAGCAAACACTTGCGCCGACCGAATATCGGCGATGTACTCGTACTCTGTAGCGAGTGCGCATATCTGCTTGATCTTGGCACTTCGCAGATCTCGCAGGAATCTTTTGGATTCTAGCGTTGTCAACTTGATCACCTCCGAAGCTGACTTTGGGGGCGTAACCAGATCAAGTGCATAAGTGCCTACACTTGATCCGTCATTCACCAAGCTATTAACTGTCTCGGTGATTTCCTGGGAAAACATATCCGCAGGTGGTTGGGGATCCACACCCTCAACATAATTCTTGCGGGAGTTATAACTCAGGAACGCTGGAACTTTTTTCCATTACGTGTACTGACTGTGAATGTACTACCACATTCACGTCCTCTTCGATCGGCTCTCTGATAGTCGATCGGGCTTGCTCTACGATCGACTCTATGGTAGTCGATCTCGCTTCAACGTGTTTTTTATCCTGATCAACACTAATTTCTCTTCTTAGATGCACCCTTACTGGTGTGCATCCGTGTTCCAGTCCATTCGATCTTTTCGAGGGTGAACCTTCGGAGCATCCTGTTTCTCTACACAGGTGCCGATAGCCGGTTCCACAGTGTAGTGGTCTTCTACACTGTGATCTTGTGCAGTCTTACTAACGACCGCACCACAAGTGAGGCTATCGCACTCACTCGTAGTACATCCACAAGCTTTTGGACGCTCTAAGACGTTCCTCTGATCGCCATCTGATGAACGAACGGCAGGCATCTTCACGGATCGATGCTTCCAGCTGATACATGGCTCGTATCTCCTGAGCCATGGCAGACCGAGGACGACATCAAATTCGTCAACCAGACTTAGTACGATGAATTCATCATCGTGCTGCTTTCCTTCTAGCGTGTAGTGGATTCCCACTACACGTTTGTTTACTGTTACGGATGCGCCTGTAGCAAGGCGCACCGTCATCCTCGTTGGAGGGAACTCTCGCTCAACAGGGCTGAGCATACTATACCCTAGCGACTGGCGTCAAATAAACTGTTCGACGACCCACAGTCAACTAGGGCGCAAAGTGACATTCCACTTGTCACTTCGATCTTCAAAGTGATGAGAGACTCCTCATCACTAGGAGCAGTAACACACAGCGACTGTGTGTTGGGGGCAATCTTCGTCAAGAGACCTGCAAATTCTCTTGACGTTGCTGGATCAGCAGAGTGCTCCGCCCCTACTGACCCTGACCGTTTTTTACGGTCCGACTTGCTGTCGCGACTTAGCGACACGGTCGGACCCACGCCTCGGACCCTTCCTTGGCCAACGGCGTTCATGACGTCCTGTCTTTGTACGTGATGCGGTGCTTGGGACACTACACCCATGAGTATAGTGTCCAATCTTTTAACAGCGATGGCATCTTGCCGTTCGCTTGTGACTCAGAGAGCGAGAGTTCTCGCTCTCGATGTAATAGAGGTCCATTGATTCGGGACCTCCTGTTTCCTGTCGTCTCGTCGGAAGATAGTTTGACGAGTTAGCCTAAGACTTTCTCAGGTTGACGTCTTCTTGTTCCGCATATGCAAACGCCTTTCCAGCGTATGGAAGTCCTCTCGGAACATGTAGGTCTTCAGCAACTCATCCACGGGCCGTAGATGAACACTTTGATGCGCGTGTGCTCACCAACAGGGTTTTCCGTAACGCTACTTGCAAGGTTGCTTAGGTGTTGTGCGTAAGCGTGCACGTCACGCTTACTTTGCTTTAGCCTCAAGAGTGCAGAGCGTGCTCTGAACTCGGCTCTCGGCGGCATAAACGTCTCTTTAAGCCGAGACTTCAAGATCTCCAACGACTCAAACACTTTTGGGTCGTGAAGCGTGATCCCTTAGACCCAAGTCTTTGCTCGTCCTGTTAAGTTTGACAGGGCGAAGGTGACTTGCATCTCTTCACCTTCGAACCATCTCAAAAGTGAATCTTCACCGGTTTCCTTGTACCTTGAGATATCAATCTTCAAGGTTTCGGGTCGAAACATGTGCGTCGGTCCGCTCATCGACTGATGAGAGCCTTGTTTTTGTAGCAAGGCTATCTTCTGTCTTTCGACGGCAAGTTCCTCTTGTAGGGCCTTGTTGATAGCAGCATAATGCTGGTCTCTGCTTAGAGACTCCAACATGTCACTGATGACAGGTTCGCCCATGAGCACGCTTATGCGGCCGACTACCTCCCATTCTGAGTCACTCAGATGGGAGTAACCTGCACGTGTGAGGTGAAAGCTATCGTCTTCTACTTCCAACATGTTCATTTTGGACGGACACTAAGAAGTCTTTGGACGGACTTCGAAGTTCTACGAGGGTTAATGGGGCACCCTTTGTCTGGGTGTCACGAAACTTCACGTACACTAGTACGTGCAGAGGAAGCTATTCTACTCAACAGCAATGTTGAGTAAAGGGTAAAAAGAGAACTGTAATTACTAAAGTTAAGCTACCGATATAACTTCAACCTTAATCTGTATTAAACTACGTCGTTGTATGACGACAACTTGCTCACCACTCCTAGCGCGCGTCTAGCAGCGATTGGTGGTAGCCTTGGTTGATATGTCTCAATAAACCAATCCTTGAGCAGCGCATGAATAAAATCCTACAAGGGGGTAACATTGCTTCAATATAATCCATCTCGGATAATTTTGGGAGGATATTGTCATGCTAGACAATATTCCTGTTGACACCGTTTGGTGTCAATTTCATGTAACGGGCTACCCCGTTACAGCCCGTATTCCCTACAACTATAGTGCCTTGCTGCCCACGACAAGCTTTTGTATCTAGTATTCACGAAGAGTAATCCATATAATAGATACGAAGGTCCTTACACGGCATGCACACCTCTCAGAAATTTCATTTAGTAAAAAAGGTTAATTGCTTCACCCTTCGGGCTCTCAATTAGCGAGTGTGCGCAAGCTGAATGCCAAACCTTTTAAATTGTACTTAGTGGGAGCCCGAAGGGTGAAGCAATTAGTGGGTGTGCGCAAGGCTGAATGCCAACCCTTTTAAATCGTACTTATCAGTGTGTGTCTGTCTATCTGTCTGCAAATAACGCGGTTAGGTGTACCTTACCCGTACCGAGTGCGAGCTAGCCTGTACCCCCCCCTCCCGTAGGATATGCGATCAGCTTCTAATCTTTTGGGTAATGCTGTCCACTTTCCTTTGGGGCTTGTACTTGTCTGCGTGTGCTGTAAGCCGCAGTACCCAGTGTAATTATCACAGTGTCAAGCAAGCAATAATTTCGAAAGCCGTACACATGGCCGTGCACACTGTCACCTTGGACGCTATCACTACGTTGACGGATAAAGGAATGATGGCGGGGGTGAACGCGTTGATGTCGATTCCAACCGCGGCCACTATCACTGGATCTCGCAAAAGTGGCCCATCGCTTGACGAGCAAATCTCAATATCAGGACAACAAATGTCCAAAAGTCCCAAAACCAGGACTATAGTTTAATCAAGTTTAAGTTTATCTATTTTATACTTGGGTTGAGTATGCAAACTAGCATAGTGTTAGCCACATTACACTCAACTGCAACATGGGATAAGAAACTGCCTGATCACTAATGAGTCTATCCATTATTTAGACAACTGTCGCGAGTGGTCAAAAAACGCTCTTTTTTTTACCAACGTTCGTTTACTTCTCAATTTGCGCCCACGAGCCGTTGTGCCCATTTTGGTTTGGGCACATTGCGTACGAGCCAGGGACCGGTCGCACGCACCCGACGAGCTCGTGACTGGTAAACTCCGTTATTGTATTAACTCTCATGAGCAGCGGTAGCAGGTAATTATGCTGTCGATGTCGACTTTGCTGTCTAACGATCGTATGCTTTGTCTGTATGTATGTGTTGCAGTGCGTTTCAAGTGATGTCGAGTGATATCAAGTGATGTCGAGTAATGTCCAGTGATGTAAAGTGGCGTCCGGTGATATAGAGCGGTGTCGAGTGGTTTCAAGTAATGTCGAGTGTCCTGATAAAGATTGTGTGCTATGTCCGTGTGGATATGTTGCAGTGCCAGGAGTTTGTTTGGCTGACTAGGGCGTAATATCAAGACAAGTGTAATGCATGCGTTATGTATATATATATAGAAATTAGTACTGGTCTTAAAAGCAAAAATCATGAAAAAAATGTTCACTACCTCATGCTGTTTATTTTAAATGGTTAGTTTGAGCGTTTATGCGTGAGCGCAAGAAGTGGACTAAAAGAAGTCTTTGAGATGTCTCGAGTGACTGCATCAATCGAAATTAACACTAATCACGGTACCACTGACCTGACCTATTGTAAAACCTTTCAAACTGGCGTTGCTGCAACCGCGTACCAAATGAATTACTGATTTAATCAAAATCGACAGTGCAAGGTGTAATAACTGAGTCACCCGGTCACGAGATCGTCGGGTGCATGCGACCGGGCCCTGGCTCGCACGCAATGTGCCCAAACCAAAATGGGCACATCGGCTCGTGGGCGCAAATTGAGAAGTAAACGAACGTTGGTAAAAAAGAGCGTTTTTTTACCACTCGCGACAGTTGTCTAAAAAATGGATAGACTCATTAGTGATCAGGCAGTTTCTTATCCCATGTTGCAGTTTGAGTGTAATGTGGCTAACATTAAGTATCAATCGATTTTAGACTTGTTTAAACTATAGTCCTGGTTTTGGGACTTTTGGACATTTGTGGTCCTGATAATGAGATTTGCTCTCGCTTGACCTCTGCTGGCAATTCAATAACTAGGTCTAATGGATAGTCGGTACCGTGTAGGATGGGCAAAGAAAAAAAGCCATAAATGTATTCAGGCAAAAAAGTTAGTGAATTTAAAGTCTCCCGGTGGTAGGGGTTTTTCGTTTTAAGCTGGGACCACCTCACATCACCTCACATCACCATGCGACCGCTTGTCGACTAAAGGGCTACTTGCATTGCAGCATTGCTCGCTTTACTTGTAGTCGAAATGACATGCCTGCTGCATCGGTGAATGCGATGCGTGCACGTGGCCACCACAAAAAAGGGCTAGCTTTTCATCAGTTTGGATCGCTGCCTGGAATGCAGATGGTATCAAATCCGGACAAGATCGCGGAGCACGGGAGCACGACGTGTCGACGGTCGCGAACGCATAACGAGGTGGTGTTTGCTGTTTGGGCTCTTTGTTGGGCTCGCAACGCCTAGTATTGCAGCGTCCGACGTATCCAGCTCAATGAAATTACAAGCCGCGTGTCGCCTATCTCGATAAATATTTCAGAATTAGAAAGGGCGTTCTGGCTGAATAGGAAGTACCGAGTTAAGGCCATTCTCTTCAATTTTGCGACAGTACCCACTGTTGCAGGAGGTCGCCAGCAGACGATATCGCGACATGGACCTCCACCTCTCTCACTCGAAAGCCCGCAGTGCAGCTTTTTCCTTCTATCCGCCATGCGTCCCCACTTCGCTGTTGTGCTGCTTGCTGTGTCCTTGGTCGCTGCAATGGACAAGGCTGAACGACTTCGCGAACCTAGCTCACCACCCAATCGGAAGAGCGGCGACGACTCTGCTCAAGGGCATGTACGAGGGGCTCTCACCACTGATGAAGAAAGAGGGGCTAATACGCTGTTTCTGAATGCGGCCGCAAGTCAAGTCCCTCATCTAAGGGAACGCGGGCAACTTGGTGCGTGGTTTCAGCCGCAGGAAGCCGTCAAAGAGACGACGGGCGACCATGAACTCATCCGTTTATGGGACAACTATGCAAAGTACAATGCACAAGACAATGTTGATTCGTTCGCCAATGTGGCGAGTACTTTTGGCGCTTTGGGTTCACCGTCGATGATCGCAAAGTGGAAGAGTGGTTCCAAGCGTGCGCAAATTGCTGCTGTCATCATGGAGGAGAGGCTGAAGAACATGCAGCAAGCTCAAGAAGTGCAACGTGACGTGGCCCGGGGGGCGAAGCTGGTAACGTACAAGCCGCCATTCATTGAAGAGTCAAACAACCCGAGAAAGCGAAAGAGCGAGTCCGACGACAATCCGAGAAAGCACAGGCGTGGGTCCGACGAGTAGCTCGTGGAGTAACCAGACTGTTTTTTTTTTTTTTCTGCATTTCTTGCTTTTTTGCTTTTTTAGACGATTTTAGTGCACGTAAACTTTCATTTACAGTAACACAGAGTAAAAAAACGAATTCCGGCTTTCTTTCTACATCGAGAGCATTGCATAACTAGAATACATGTGTTGTATGAACAACGGATAGAAAGTTGAACCAGTACGATAGGACGAATGTTGAACCTGCCTACTATGCAACAGTATATCATCAGCGCATACCGATATCTTTGAAGCAATGTCAATAGCGCATCGAGAGCGCTAAGCTCGATAAAGATTGTGTAAGCCGCGTTCCGCTTCGCTGCAGATGTCTGGGGCTATCATGCTTGCCCAATCTCGATCTAGTATATCGGTATGCACAGCCTCTCCATTCCCAGGACTGTAGCTTTTCTTTGTCTTCTGCGGCAACAAGTTTCGCACGAACGAAACGGGACTAAAAATAGAGCGATTGACATTAAAGCCAAGCTAACCTTACCTCTCAAGTACTAGACAGTTGAGGGAGAAAGAAACTTGCCTCGACTGGTGTGCGCTTTGACATGTTGCAAGAGCGGCGTCAATTTCCATTAGCTCATCGCGTAAAGTGTTGGAAAGCACCTGCCTATCAGATGCAGCAGATGACATATCGCTAGTAGTCCGTGTAAAATGAGCAAGCTTACAAAAGTTTTATGAATCGTACCGTACCCGCAGTTGCAAGATAACCAACACGGCGTGCTCGCAAATTGGAAGAGAACGTCATGATGGACACTAGTACAGAGACCACCACTCAGCATGCAGTATCTTCTTTCAGGCGCTTCTCGAGTGTGATTGCCGCCAACTTTAGCCCAACCAAGCGTTATTTGAGCCAAGTTCGAGGATGCGCACCGCCCGGACTTGCCTACGAAAAAGTGGTGGTACACTAGTTCGCTTTGAACGACGCCAGAAATGAACTCAACCTCAACTCGAAAGATCTTGAGACCTCCCGTCTAACAGATGCTATCTTGTGAGGCGCGTGATGGGGTCATTATGTACAAGAGGCTCATCAATTAGAACGCGTCGAGTATCCTTTTTGCGCGACGAAGTCAGTTTTGTATCTTCGGTAGAGCCGCATCGATACGTCACTGCTAATGGTCACGAAAAAGCTAAAAAGGACGTTCGTCCAAGATACTGCACGGAAAACATGCCCACATTGAGCTGGTTTAACTCATGCACAATCAATGTGCCAGTTCTGCTTTAGCACTTGGTAAGCTATCGATTACGCCAATATTGGCATGGGCAAGCCATGCTGTTGTGCAGTTAGACAGAGGACCTCGTGCACGCCATGGAGAACGGTGTTCCGAACGAGCGCAACTAGTACATAAACAGCAGCTGCGTAATCCACTGGGGTGCACATTTGAGCCAGTCAATCGACTCAGCAACGTCATGTCGGATCTTCTTGATGATGCGCACACGCGCAAGTGCACGAAATCAATTTTAAAACAGAATGTCGGCGCCACGATGAACGTTGCTGAGAAGAAGCGTGAGTGCCCGAGCTGCAAGGCCTTACACCATCTCTAAGGAGCGCTATACCACATCTGCGTGGAGCATATGACAGAAGTGTTACCACGGCAACTTCTTCGACAGTCCGCATGAAGACGTGATGTGCTCCAGCTGCGAATGTACAAAATTGTGCTACCACATAACGAATTAAAAAGGACCTCGGAGAAGGCCCGGGTCTCGTAGGAATGTGTTTCTTCCAAGTAGGCTTACTGCGAATAGCTTGTCTTCGATTACACGGTTTAAGGGAGGTCGGTAACAATACACATTTATGTCACGTGGTAGCTGTAACGGGGCACCCTAAAGCTTGTACTGGTGACAGTACAAGCTACTTATTCTGATGACAGAATAAGGCGGTGCCTCGGAACTTCACGTACACTCGTACGTGCAGAGGAAGACGGTAAGAAGAAGCGAGTACTTGGTTTAAGTAAAAAGTAGAACTGTATTTATAATAGTTAATGTCTGCAATAAACCACTGTTTATCCTCATCTAAGTATGTCTAAATACAAATTTGTATATCAACTATCTGCTCACCACTCATTGCGTGCGTCTGTCGTGGCGCGTCTTCGTTGGTTGATATAATGCCCTTTATCAACCAATTAGGAACTACTCGTAAGTGCTGCAGAATATTTGTCCTTATGACAATATTCTGAGAATTTAACTCTTATAGTTATATTCTATTAACAATTTCTTATAAATTGTTATGTAACGATTCACCCCGTTACATCACCCCCCCCTTAACCATCAGTCACTTTAGTGACTGATTGACTAAATGGATACTCGTCCCAAATCATTTGGGACGGGGTTTGCACTTGTTGGTCCGCGTCCACTTTCCAACAGTTCATGGCATGGTTAACAAGCCCATGCGGTGCGCGAGCAAGGCCGCCGAGAGCGCGTCCGCACGTCTCTGTGCGGACGCCATAGCAGAAACCGCAGCAACTGATGTCTCATCGGTTGCTGAAGCGACTCAGCCTGTGTCACCTGGTGATGCAGGCGCTCGTCATGAAGACACTCATGTCTTCACAGAGTATGAGCTCGGAGTCTCATAATCTCCTGATACGGAAGACGGATCGTATCGACGGCGATCGAATCCAAGCCGCCTGCCAAGCGTGGCATGGATGATGCTATGCGTCGTAGCATCTTTGGTTCATCTGATGAATCAGATGAACCATCGCCGAAGCGAAGGCGCTCGAGGTCGCGAGACTCGGGCGCTAACAGTGGTGTCGGTTCTCCTATGGACAACACTTCGCAACGAGGTGCCAGTCCTTCTGTCGGCAACGTCGCAGGAAGAGCGGGACCGCAGTGTCTTGCGTCTCGCTCCCGAGAAGAAGGCATGGCTGCCTCCAAAATCCGTCATGGATCACTTGTCGGCGACGACGAGTGATCGTTATCGAACACGATTGTTCGATTCGTCAAGGATCCATCACCTTGACCCCAGCGCGAAAAACTATCGCGCTGAACATGAATTCTTCATCGATGCTTTCTTCAGACATCGATGGTACAGTGGGAATCACAAGCGTGATGGTCCCTCACTACTTCAAGCGTGGAACGCCTACATCCATAACCTTGAGGATGTAGGTCGTGACGCTTGGAACGACAAACTTATCAAAGCTCGTGTTAAGTTTGAAAAGCGAACCCCGACAGGTGCACGCTACAAGCTGCATCGTCTGTCAAGGGAGAAAGGATTACCCTGCCTCTCTTGGGGAGACTCGTGCCCGTGTTGTGTGAACAACTTTGCACGAGCACCTAAGGAGGCTTACCTCCTTAATAGCCCGTGGTGGCGCGTACGTATCTCTAGTGAGATGTACGAAGGGATTGACTACCTGAAATCCCTTTACGACCGTGCCGGGAAGACTTTCTCCGGCGGTCCTTCTGCGGCACAGGATGTGCCGCATCGTACTGCTCAACCAGACCCAGTACGTCAATCATCAGTTGGGAGCGGGCTCCCAAGTATCCCAGGACGGGGGATAGCCGCGCCACCGGACGAGATAACTCGTCCGACGTCCGTTCACGTCGCGGTGGTTCAACAGCTGCTCAACTAGATAGCGCTGGCCACCGCGAGAGTCCTCTAATGGAGGTGGAGGAGGAGGGAAGACGCTCTCCACACAATCGTGGGAATTTGTGTGTTCCCGAGAGCTTCTTTGATCGCGTAACGCAAGGGTTACGCAACGATCTCGAACATGAGCGGGACTGGCGTCTCCAAATGACGGACACTGTCTTGAAGCATCGAGCTGAGTTTGCCTTTGCTCAGCTTGAGAACGAGAGAGCTCTGACATCTCTTCGTGACGAGCTAAGGGTAGCTCGTGGGATTGTAGATCGGTCTCGGGATGAGATAAATGCTCTTCAGACCCTTGTCGATGTCCACCATCGGGAGCACAAGGCTCTCTGCGAGATGCTTGAGCGCAAGGGCGTTCTTCATCGGAAGAAGCAGCGTACTGATGGTACGGCTTAAGCCGACCAACGTAAAACGTGGGATGCGTTCGCATCTTACGTGGTAACTCGATCGTGTATGCATTGCCTAGGCGGTGCAATGCACGAAATGGGCCGATGTACTTGGGTAGTAGTTTACTGCTACCCAAGTTAGTCACTACATGTTTTGGTAGATTAACCGTAGACAGTAGGACTAAGTCACCTTTATTAAATAAAAGAGTGTTTCCCCTTCCATTCTTGTCAGCGTTTTGCTTTTGCTTATCCACCGCTTCGGCGATGGAGTCTTGCACAAAACGGACTACCGTTTCACGAGCCAGTATGAACTCATCTGATGACTCGTTAGCTTCAGTGTGCTGTGAGCGCACTGCAGCGACAACAACCTTTTCTTCAGTGAGGGCTTCCGCACTCTCACTGGGATCATTGTCTTCAGTGAGGGCTTCCGCACTCTCACTGGCATCATCTTCTTCGATATTGATGTTATCGATATCGGCATCAAACGCGTGACCTCTTCGTCAGAGCTTGATGAGCGTGAACCAAATCGAATTTTGCTCGCGCGAGTCCCCTTCTCCCTTAAACCAGAGTCACACTCTAGTAAGGTCGGTACACGCGGATGGCGCAAGCCATTCACGTAAAACGGTGTATGGGTCGTGGATGCATGCACCGAGTTGTTAATGGCAAACTCTACCATTGGCAAGAACTCACTCCAACTCTTAAAGGAGTGTACGTATCCTCGAAGTATCTCTTCGAGTACACGATTGGCACGTTCCGTCTGACCATCTGACTCTGGATGGTCAGATGTCGACATCTTCAAGCGCGTTCCGAGTGATTTGAACACGGAACGCCAGAAATCAGCAGTGAATCGTGGATCTCTGTCTGATACGAGTTCACGGGGCAACCCATGAAGTCGGAAGATGGTGTCGATAAAGACACAAGCACAGCCACTTGCTGTGATTGACTCGGGTACAGCCACAAGGTGTACCATTTTGCTGAATCTGTCAACAAAAACGAGAATACCCGTATTCCCACGTGCGTTTTTGGGTAACCCGAAGACAAAATCCATTGAGATGGATTCCCAGCTCTCAGCCGGAACTGGTAGAGGCTGTAAAGGTGCGCGCAGTGAAGGATTTGACTTCACTCGTTGACAGACTTCGCATGCGCGAACATACTTTCGCACAAACTGATACTGGCGGGGCCAGTAAAAGTCTCGACTCACCGTGAGATATGTTTTCTCCCGGCCACGATGTCCTCCTATAGGAGCATCGTGATACTCGAACATGATCCGCAAACGCAGATCAGTATCGTCTGGAATGACAACACGTGGTGTGTCACCAGAAACGGCTGAATAATACAGTAAACCGTTGCGAGTAGTGTATCGATCTGATGCAGATCGATACGCAGACGAGAATCGTTTCAACGATTCTCGTGATGGCTGTGAGAGATGTATCAAAACTTCACAATCTCACCATCTTGGGCGTATGCCCGCCGCACATCATCATGCAACGTTGAAGATGGTATGGTGGACGTCGTAACCGCAACAGTGACTGTCTCACTGTTGGGTTTCACGACTGGTTCAAAGTCGGGACGATGTGAGAGTGCATCAGCGACAACATTGAGTCGTCCTGGTTTGTACTCGACCGTAAAGTTGTATTCTGCAAAGAATGACAACCACCCCGCCATTCTTTGTGAAAGGTGCGGGCTGTTCACTGCCGTGCGTAATGACGCATGGTCAGTGTAAACAATGAAGGGTCTATCTCCTAATTTATAGACTCTGAACTCCGCGAGTGAATACTTCATGGCAAGGAGTTACTTGTCATGCACTGGATAGTTCCGCTCAGCTGGTTGCAGCTGACGCGACTGATAGCAGACGACGCGTTCAACGCCTTCAAGATCGTACTGCATTAATGCACAGCCGATTGCGAAATCGCTGGCATCACAGACCACATGAAATGGCCTGTCCTGATCGGCAATTGCTAGGACTGGGGATCGTATCAAGCTCTGTTTGATACCAAAAAGGAGCGCTGACATTCAGCGTTCCATAACCACCTCTCGTTCTTTTTCAACAAACGAGAGAGGTGTATAGTCATCTCGGCGTAATTGCGTGAATAATTATGCAAATACGCCGCCAGCCCAAGGAAGTTTCGAAGACCTTTGACATCAACCGGCACAGGCCAGTCGGTGATCGCCTTGATCTTTTCGGGATCAGGACGTACACCGTTCTTACCAGCGATGCACCCAAGAAGTGGTATTTCGCTTGCTGCAAATATACACTTCTTGAGGTTTGCATACAATTGATGCTTTCGCATGATTGTAAGAACCTGTCGGACGTGGTACCTGTGAACCTCAACATCCGACTTTCCATCCATAGCCCGACTATGGATGAATACGTCATCGAAATAACTTGGCGTGAATTCTCGTACTGGTCTCAACAGATGTGATACACATCTGTTGAACGTGGCAGGGGCATTACTAAGCCCTTGTGGCATTACTAGCCATTCTCAGAGCATACCGCTAGGCGTGCTAACTGCGGTATAGGGTATATCCCGTTCTCGCATAAGGATTTGATGGAAGCCATCCATCAAATCCACGGACAAAAAGATGGTACTCTTTGACATACCATCAATGATTACGTCCTTCCTCGGTATCGGCGTCTGAGCCGGTACCGTTGCAGCATTCAACTTGTTAAATGCATGCACTATCCGCCACCCTCCTGTTGCTTTTCGCACACAGAAGGTCGGAGAGCTATGTGGGGAAGTTGATTCCCTCACATGACCCGCAGCTAAACGATCGGCAAAGATCTTGTCGATCGCAAGTACTTGTTCACGGGGCAGTGGCCACTGCTTCATGACACAGTACTTCGAGCCTGGTTTAAGCTCGACCTCGTGTCGAATTCCTTTATCCTTCGGTAATTCGCACGGAACAGTTTCAGGGAAGACATCCTTGAATTCAACCAAATCTTCATAGAGAGGATTTGTCTTGAGCGATTCCCACGATTGGGAGTCATATCGCTCAATTCGTGTCTTTTCATCTAGGACACTCTCGTCCATCAATGAACTACTGAGAACTCTCTCGTTCTCAGAAAACAGTGTTGCTGACCTTATGTCGGCTACACACTCGTCGTCAGCGACGAGTACGCAGATCTGCTTGACTTTGCCACTACGCAGATCACGCAAGAACCTTTTATGTTCGAGCGTTGGCAACTGAGTGATCTCCGAAGTCAACTTCGGAGGCGCAATCAGATCAAGTGTATAAGCGCCTACACTTGATCCGTTATTGACTATGACATTCAATGTCTCTGTCATTTCCTGGGGACTTATTCCCTCAGGCCTCGAAGGACTTATTCCTTCGGCTTTCCGGGGACTTATTCCCGCGGGTTTCGGGGAACTTATTTCCGCCGTATTTGTAATATCGGGACTTATTCCCTTAACTTCCTCTAGCTGTGGTTGCGCAACCACAGCGAGATCCTCTACGAAAGACTCTCCAGTCGATCTAGGATTATCGTTATGCTTAACCTGAGTGATCGATTGTTTCTCTTCTAGATGTTCCCCGCTAGGGATACATCTTTGTCCCGGTCCACTCGACTTATTCGAGTGGTGGACCTTCGGCGCAGCCTGTGTTTCCTCACAGCCGCCGGAACTTTGCTCCGAAGTGTAACCGTTTGTTACACTAAGCTTTTGTGCAGTCGTACTAACGACCGTACCACAAGTGAGACCATCGCACTCACTCGTAGTACATCCACACGCTTGTGGACGCTCCAAAACGTTCATCAGATGGCCATCTGATGAACAAGCGGCAGGCATCGTTACTGTTCGATGTTGCCAGTTTACCCGTGGTTCGTACCTTCTGAGCCACGGTATTCCAAGGATGACATCAAATTTGTCGTCCAAATCCAATACGATAAATTCATCGTCATATTGGGTATCTTCTAGCGCAAAGTGGATCTTCACTATACGCTTCATGACGGTTACGGATGCGCCTGTCGCAAGACGTACCGTCATCCTCGTAGGAGGTGTTTCACATTCACTGAACTCAAAGTGACTATCTTCTAGCGATTGGCGTTGCACAACATTGTTGGATGCCCCACAATCGACTAGAGCTCGAAGGGACAACTTATTTGTCACTTCGAGTTTCAAGGTAATGAGTGAGATCTCATTACCTTGAGAAGCAACGCACAACGTTTGTGTGTTGGGGGCAACCTTCATCAAGGGGCCTACAAATTCTCTTGACGTTGCTGGACCAGTTGGGTGGTCCGCGCCTACTGATCCTGTCCGTTTTTTGACGGTCCATCCCGTTGTTGCGTCTTTGCACCAACCGCGGACCCGCGTCCCTGCCCCTTTCTCATGGGTGGACGGTCACTACGCCCAGTGTTGCGAGACACTGGACGAGGGGCACTACACTCGCAAGCGTAGTGTCCTGTCTTTTGACATCTGTTGCATCTCTGCAACTTCTGGTAGTCTGTAGAGCGAGCCTTCTCGCTCTCTACATAACAGAGTTCCATCGGCTCTGGACCTCCGCTGTCATATCGTCTCGGTTGACGATATGATGTCAAGCTGGCGCGAGCCTGTCTCAGACTGAAGTCTTCCTGCTCCGCAATGGAAATGGCTTGTTCTAGTGA